CTACGCTTTAACAAGCACAAATGTCACGCACCAACACTCCCCGACCTTCCGTTCTTAAAGCACCTCTCTTTCTAATCACTCAATCAAGCACATTTCTGATCCAATTTTTGGAATCAGGATTCAGCACAAAAATTGAAAGAGAGCAGAAAGAATCATATTTTATTTATAAGTTTAATACCTTCAACCAGGGCTAAATGAAAGTTCGGGAAGGCTGTTTAGTTTGCAGCTGGCTCGTTGGAGAGCTGATCCTCTCCGTCCTTGAGCTTCTCGAGAGGCACACGCTGAGACACTATGAGATCTTCAAACTTAACAATAGATATTTAAACCACCATCCTGAGACGTTTAATTCCGAAGAGAACCTCCAAAACGGATAAATGCGGCTCAAGCGGTTAATCTCAGGCAGGCATAGGCTACGTTTCCATGGATGCGACCATGGCGCATCGAATCGAGATGTGACCAGTCACGCGCCCGCGATCCTCCTTTCCCTTCCTCGTCTACCCAATCATAGGCGGTTAATCTCGATCCGATTCGCTACGATCGCATCCATGTAAACTCAGCCATAGACTGTTACATCCAACCACTCCTTATTCAAGGAAAAATCCCCCAAAGTTTTAATCCACCTCAAACTTCGACCTTCTAGCACTAGGGAAGGTCTCGGGATTTGGGCGCGTCGGTGGTCACATGTGACCAATGTCTGGTTTGAAGACGAGCCACCCCTTCCCAACCGGGAACTTTCAAACACTTTTTTTTTGCGCTTTTTTTTTTTTTTTTTTTTTGTGCGAGCATAAATTATCATTTTGCTAACCGTTTATTTTTTGTGCGGGCGTAAATAATTTTCGCCCACCGTTCTTTTTCTTTTGCATTTGCATTGGCAAGTTTTGGTTCCCTTTCCTCTCTGTGTGAATTACCATCTGTTTTGATAACGTTGTTTCAATTTCCTACTTTTTTAGGGGTATGTAAACATTCACGGGGTGTACACTCGCTACCTGATGAAGAGTGGACCCCGCTGGAAACACGTCGTAATAAACTTTGAATTACTAACTCCGACAGTACGCATCTTCCACTTATATATATATATATATATATATATATATATATATATATATATATATATATATATATATATATATATATATATATATATATATATATATCTTGTAGGGCTCGGTGCTACTGCTCAAGGACCAGCGGGGCAGATCTCAGAAAACATACCTTTACTTTATGCTTGCGGTGAATGATCCCCTGCAGCCCGAGTCTCGACCGTGGCTCGTGCGCCGAGTGCGAGTTTTTTTGCGCGGTGATGGGCCACAAAGCCCACAATATATATATATATATATATATATATATATGTATATATATGTATATATATATATATATATATATATATATATATATATATATATATATATATATATATATATATATATATATATATATATATATATACGAAGGCCGGACTCCGACCGAAACGTCGAAGATTAAATCGTCCGTTGTTGCTGTTTTTCACTAAGGGTTTTTTTCTTCTCAGTTTTATACCCACGCCTTCGGCCTCCCGCCATCATGCCCGTTATATATATATATATATATATATATATATATATATATATATATATATATATATATATATATATATAAGTGGAAGATGCGTACTGTCGGATTGACAGTACGCATCTTCCATATATATATAGTATTAACTTGTTTTGTGGACTAGTCTACAGCTAAAGCAGCGATTGCCAAACTAGTTCGTTCGCGACGAAGCGACCATGCGCGCAGCGCACAGGTGCATGCTTGACCACTTGCATGTTGCGCCAATCGCGTGAGCAGAAATGAGTGCGCTGTTAGCGCCGGTTCTTGGCCTTGCCTAGAAGAGTACAGAAACTAGCTAACAACTAGCGAGCCGCACCTCCTCCGCTCGGATTAGCAGGTTTTAGTGAATGGTACATCTCAAACATTGTTAGCCTCTCTCATATACTTTGGGAGAAATATTGCATCAAAATAGTGGCCCTGTAGTTCTTGTCCTTGACACTAAAGATGAAGATCATTTTTTCATCCAATGTAAAATATATCGTAGTTGCCCTTTAAAAAGGTTTGTTCATTTTCTTGAAATGCAGAAGTGCAATACCTTTACTGTTTTTTCCTTCAAATCACGGCAACAAATTTTTCAAATGCCGGAGTCGATATCAGGTCTTTTTTGTTTTTTTGAAAAATATCATAAAATAACTCCTTTTCAGTTCAATACTAAAACTAAGCCGAAACCCCCTTTGTGAAGGCTAACAAAATGTTTAGTGCGCAGTGGTCAGTGTTGACAGTAACGCGTTTCTTTCTTCCCGTAACTTGTAACATACTGGTTACTTTTTTTCAAAACAGTAGCGGGTAACGCACTTAACTTATTGCGAGTAACGGGTAACGAAGTTAAGTTACCTGTTCCGTTTTCTTCCCAAGACTTAAACAATTTACACTTATATTTGTTTCAAGTTTCTAGGCCCTAAGTCAAGTGAATTTCTGAGTTTTTTGCGTCTTCGTTAGTGTCTTTTCCTTGCGAGTATTTAGATAAAACCGTAAAAGGATAAATTAAATATGTGCAGTTTGTACATGGACGTAATGTTTCTTAAAATATGGCGTTACGCATACCTGCACCGTCAAAAGAGTCAAACATCTTAATCCATAATTTAAAAAAGTTACGCAAAATTAACGTGCGTTACTTTTCATCGGTAATGGTAACGGTAAAGCGTTTCTTTTATTACAAAGAAAGGTGGGACGGTAACGCATTACTTTTATTTGCAAGTAACGAGTAACGTATTTAGGTACATTTTCGTTTAAGGTTTACAACTTTGGTCACGGTATTTTCAAACGCAGGTTCAAAATAAGGTCGCGAAAATACGTAGCATTCTTTGCAATTCAATCAACGTTACTAGAATGCACAGTTGGGAAACTGCCGTAGAAGCCTGAATTTAAAAAAAAATGGCTCCGTCCAGTACTCAAGTTCCGAACTAAACGCGATCGCAACGCCGCCATTTCTCCCGCAGATGCCACTCCAGGAACTTCCCGGCATCGCGTATTCGTTCAGGTCGAGTGGCGCGAGGGCAGATGGCGCCATCTTGCAGTAACCACAATATCGCATTCGACAGCGTCCGCTGTAACTCTTATATTGTGGCTTTGATCTTTTTTGGCGCCAAAACATAAACTGTGGAAGAAATTTCAATGTAAGAAAAATTTATATGCGCACCAGTGCGCGTTCTCACTATGAACCAGGTCATAGGTGATGCATGCTCCGCACCTAAGTTTACACGACTCAGTGATCACTCGGGCCGCCGCAGCCGGCGAGGCAGGACCACAGAGTGACCGTATTACACCATGTCCAAGGACAGGCAAGTCAGTTGCACCGGGCCGTTGAGCACCGTCAGGTATTGGCAGGACTAGCGCCGCAGGAACTCGCACTCCCCAAGGAGTAACAGCTGACACTCCAAAAAAGTGACTAGCTTTCGTTGCAGGTGCCATGACAGTGACCGCGTCGCCCGTTGGCAACGCTGCCGCGCCTTTGAAAAGCAACGATTGCGCCATAAGACCCATTCGGCCATCGCCATTACAAGGAACGTAAAATACCCTCAGGGCCGACGACCCTGATTGACATAAGTGATCGCACCAGCGTCAGGGAAGGCATGCGCCAGAAGGCGTGAAAAGTTTTGCGCCACATTGCACTCCGCCATTACGTGGGCGTTTGTCTCCACTGTGCTGCAGTTGGAACACACACCTGAGAAAATAAAACGCCATCAGACTGGACGGGTTCTCGCGTCACATAAGATAGTTAAGAGGCTCTTAACAGCTACGGTGGGCGCTGAAGCCATGACGACGCTGAAGCCATGACGATGCGCCTCTCACTACGTTGAAGAAACGGGCGACGAACCAGGGAACACCTGGCCCGCGAAAAGTATCGGAGACGCACCTGCAAACCCCCGTCTTCCACGCGGACTCACCGCAATCAATCACCGAAGTTCAGACGGAACCAGGTTGGGACACGCTACCTGAAGTCATTGGTGAAACATGGCTGCATGAAAACAATATTAATTGTGCCGCAAAACCTTGTACACTTAATATTCATGAAAACATAACTCTCCTGCAATTTCGTACTAGTTTCCCATCCAATGTCCCACAAAAATAGCTTTTCCCGCTTGTTGCTTCGCAAGAACTTGCTTCCGAAAAGCTCGTGGTGACCACAGTAAAGAAAATAATTAAACCAGTGAACAAAAGGTTAGGGCGCGAACGAGCTGGTGGTGATTAAGCATTTGACTGAAAATTCCCAGAGTGGAACGAGAAGGTACGGACGAACACAAAGTTTCAAACACAGCTTAAATTTATTCGACAACGAAAGTGCTCATTTAGGCATCAAATCCTACACAAAACATTAGAGACGAGAGAGAGAAAGAAAGAGATAGAAAGAGAGAGGGAGAAATGGGGAATCCCACGCCGCAAACATGATGCCTGTATAAGCCCTTTCGTTGTCGAATAAATATCAACTGTGTTTGGGACGTTGTATCTGTTTGTCCCTTCTCATTCCAGTCTTGGAGTATTTTGTCAAAATATTGAACCGCCATCATGGTACCTCGAGCTCTGGAGTTTCGGTACTCTGGAAGCATTCACTGACTAACATTAGCCATATAATGCAGCTATCATTTTTCAACTCGTCGCTGAATGGTGGCGCTCTTAGCGTATTTAGTTCGGTCTCAGTGGACGCCACAGGTCCAGGTCTCAAGAATGATTTTTCACAATTAAGTGTTATAGTAATATTTAATTCAATACTCTGGCACTGAAGTGCAGAGTTGTCAGCCGCGTGCAGTGACAACCTTGTGAGGCACGCAGCTATGCAATGGTGAACAAGCGAACTTCCTGAAATACGAGCAATATACACATGTAATCCGTTAAACAAAATGCTTTAAAAGGTTCTCTTCACGAAGACGGCTCTTTCTTTAACGAGCAATCTTTTTCTATATTCCTCAGAAATTATGCGCAGACGTGAAATTTGGTCATCGAAGCATAAGTTCATGATTCCTCATGCTCAACAGCTGTTTGCAATCTGGGCATTATGTATGGTTGTTGAATTAGCTGGACTCAGCGAAGCAATACCATCATGTGGTGAGTATAAATATTTACGTTGCATATTTTTTTTTCGCGCTATATAATACTTCGACAAAGTGTTTAAATAAGCACAGGCAGCCGTAATCACCTCTCGTGATTAACTAGCGCTGTTTTAAAGTCAGTATTGCGTCTATTAGCATTTGCGAGCCAAGCAAAAAAGTTGGCGAATAAAGAGCGAGTAGGCCCTGCAGTATTTACAAGTGCGAGGCAAGCCGCTGACTATCTTCTCACGAGTAACAAGCGGAAGAGGCATAGAAAGATAGGACCCGGATGCTTCGTACTTAAACGCCACTACCTTAATGGGGATTTCTTAATGTAAGAACTAATACTTAATTATCTATTAGCAAATATAACACGTCATCATGAGATTCGGATTTCCCAGACAAAAAAAAAAGTTCTACAAAGAAAATTAAAACAAAAAAAGCAAAAGGGAGCAAAGACAGAGGCTGCATTGCCGGCGATTTTAACAAATATGGAAGTGCAAATTAATGTGAACTCTCTCGTCGGCCAGCGCCTGGCTGATATCGTTCTAGCGGCATCTCTGAACTCTGAACATGCCCATTAACACCATGTTTGCTGCTCCGATTCGTTTTAGATGTGTCCAACAACGTTCCAACACTGTAATTGCTTCGTTAGCGTTGACGGTCAGCTGTGATAGAAATCGTCCATGGCGCTGTGCCGCTAGCCACTCGTCGTTGAACAGCCGTACCCTCTGTCTAAGTTTTATCGGTCGATTCCTAAGTCGCTTATGGTTACTAAGCCCTAAACATGGGTGGTGAATAGTTAGCTCTGATTACCACGACATACCACGTGATCATTTTAAGAGGTGAAGTCAAACCTCGGAGGTTAATAATACTCTAGTAACGTCTGGCAAATACGGCTTAGGGTGTTTCACCAGAAAGTGAGAATACTATAAAATGAAGACATTAAATAAACAAGTTATTTCTCCTAGATAACGCCATCGACCGTAGCAGATCTAAGACTACGAGCGTTAAACGACAATTACCAAATTAATGCTAGAAATTAACTACTGAAAAATCCTTCATTTTCGCGCGGCCCCCTTTTATTTTGGGGGCGAATTGGTTACAAAGGACATAATCGTCACAACTAAATTTCCCGAATTTCAGACGCTTGCATAGAAACACTTCAGGATCGAAATTTTCACGTCCACTTAAATATCGCTAATTTTTTAATGCGCGAAATTCGCTAATATTAAGGGTTTTACAGTAATTATATACAGAAATGTTTGCATTAGCCAGCACATTTTAATAAGTTAATTTTTGCCTGTTGGCAAATTTTGTCATTTCTGTTACAATTCAGTGAGCTATATTCTGCTGCGATAAATTCTCTAGCATATCTGTTCCGTAATATAAGACTCCATTGCCGGATAGCAAATCTTCGCCAACCGATCTGAGAACGTCGCATAATCTGAAATCACGTGGTCATATAGGTCATGGAGCTGGGCGTCACATTTGATATATCCTCAGGTGTGCACATTTAGGCACAGTCTTTACTTAGTTTCCGTATGGCTGACGGCAGACAGCCTCACATCCTTATGAGAATTGCCACAATAATAAACGTACAGCATCAAAAAGGGTGAAAACAGTCGGCAGACAATCAACGAATATCTACTTGGAATTTGCCAGCTAAGGAGATTATGGCAAAAGTTAGTAAGAAGCTTCTAGTCATTAATTCACGAATAATCACCTTATACCCATAATTTGACTTCCGCCGGCTGCAGTCCTTACCTTTATCCCAAAGAAATTGTTGTTTTAAGTTTACTTTAAAATAAATATATCAGTTGCCATGGTAACAATTCGCATATTTTCTGCTAACTATTGGATCAATGTTGCCTCTCGTCCAAGTATTTATTACGTTTTTATTTCACTAGGTGTTCCCGAAAAAAATGTATGTCGCACAGACGCCTGTAAACAAAGAGGTGAGAATACACACTGACATACGTTGGGTAGTATAAAAATATGAAGTATTTTGTTATATATTGTAGACGTGGTGATGACTTTTTAATTAAATTATTATAATAGTAATGTTTCTTAATGTGATGTTTAGTAAATTGCGCGCCACTCTGTAAAGACGAAGAAGCGAGGTAGGGGTCCGGAGGAAGAGACTGGGGAAGTGATGAATACTCAGGTTACTGAATCCGGCTCGCTCTGGGGGTCCCAAAATACGCCTCGACGCAACAGGTCATCGGCATGATGCCATGCCGCACTCTATACGAACTCATAACACTACAACTCACAACGCGACAAGACATTCAAACAAGAGTGGCAGATCATATCCCTCATATACTACGATACCGCAATACTAGAGACAACCACCAGAGTCGCCCCCATTGGACGCCCTGCCCAACATCCTGGCAAAGCTACTACCGCGGAACATGGACCCAGACAGAAAGAAAAAAGCCGCGGAAATTTCGAGCGCGCGGTCTTACAAAACGTTTACAATCCTTAAAACGAGAAGGAGCTTAAAATTTATTTTAGATATGCGAGTCTCAAGTCCGATACCAACACAGGGAGAATAGCATATTTCCGTGCGCCAAGTAGGCAGCGCGGCCGCGGCCTAACTGCGAAGTGTTTTACCTGAGTGCGTCGTTTCGTCCAGTGTCCGTATGTGCGCCGGGGTGCGAGGCTATATGCGGGAGGCTGAGCTCTTTTTTAGGATATTGAAGGTTAGATTTTCAATGGAATACCTTAGCTCGTTTAGACGTAGAAAATTTTATCACGATTTAATCGATGTGTTACTGCCAGTACCTTTTTATAGATCAATTTACAGTGAAGGCCCCAGCCTAGGTGTGCTAAAACGTGTAAAGCAGATGCCAATAAGACCAACTGTGAAGACCTTTTTCTTTAAGCTGCATTGCGGTGCACTGCCTGTGAAGACCTGGTTTGAGAGGAAGGGGATAGGTGTACCATGATCCATAAATTGTATTCTTTGTAAAAAACCAGAAACTATAAAACATGCCTTCATCAATAGCTGGGACGCGGTTTTCCACTGGGATATACTTCAACGTGCTTTAAAAAAAAAAAAGAGCTACCAATAACTCTCCAAGGCATTCGTTTCTTACCTGTGGAAAACGAAGGCAGGGTTCCGTATGACATGTTTATGGTTCTTGGTCTGCACAGCCCCTGGAAGAACAGAATGGCAGTACGCCACGAACCCCTGAATCTCCGCACTGCCAGAAAACATTTTATTGAAAGTGTGTCGTACATTAGAGCAGTTTTTAGGGTACAACCGGAACCCCCCGATTGGTTGTCAATCCTTGATGAACTTGTGTGTTTGAGGCGATTTTAATGTAACCACTTTTGACATAGGGTGGAAGGCGTGTTTTAGCAATTGTGCTGTAAGAGCTTTTTATAAATGTCAAAGCAGCAATAGAGAAAAAAAAAAAAAAAAACGACCGTGGCCTAACGGTTATCGCACTTGTATCCCACGCGAAGTGCCAGGGTTCGATTCCTGGGAGTTACGCGTCCTTTTGTTTATTCTTGCAGTTTAATGTTCTGGTGAATTCGAGAACTTTGTCGACGCTTCGTTCGGGATTTAGCAAGGATTTCCGCACCGCTCACAAAACTCACGAAGAACACCGAGAAGTTCGAATGGGCCGAGGAGCAGCAGCAGGCACTCGACGAGCTGAAGCGAAAACTCCAGTCTCCTCCTGTTTTTGGACATTTTGATCAGGAGGCTGAAACCGAGATTCACACGGACGCTAGTAATGCAGGACTGGAGCGGTACTAGTTCAAGTACAAGAGGGCACCGAGTGAGTCATCGCCTGCGCAAGTCGGACGCTGTCCAAACCGGAGAGAAATTACTCCACGACTGAAAAAGAATGTATTGCGGTCGTATGGGAAATCACGAAGTTCCGCCCGTACCTGTACGGGAGCCCGTTCCGCGTAGTCACGGACAACCACTCGCTCTGATGGCTTGCGAGCCTCAAGGATTCGTCAGGACGCCTCGCTCGATGGAGCCTCCGACCACAAGAGTTCAACATGACTGTGGTTTGCAAGTCAGGACGCAATCACAGCGACGCTGACAGCCTGTCGAGGGTTTCTGTCGAAGCACCTTCCGGCAGCAGTGACGACAATGACTAGGAGTGCTTCCTAGGAGCAGTGAACACCGACGACATGGCACGACGTCAACGAGACGATCTGGAGCTGCGCGCCTTAATCGAGCACCTGGAAGGGTGCGGGGGTACCGTACCGCGTATTTTCTCACGAGCCCTGCCGACCTTTGCCATTCGACGAGGTGTACTCTACAAAGAGAACTTCGGGGACAACAACTCACCCTGACTGCTGGTAATCCCGACCGACTTTCAGGGGGAGATCTTTCAAGCATGTCCACGACGACCCGACGTCCGGACACCTTGGTTACAGCAGGACGCTGGCCCGTATTCGTGAAAAGTATTACTGGCCCAAGCTCCCCAAACCTGTCCACTTCTACACCCGATCATGCTACGAGTGCCAGCGACGCAAGAAACAACCGACAAAGCCGGCAAGTTTCCAGAAGCCAATCGCCCCGCCAACCGCACCATTCGAGCAGATCGGAATGGATCTACTTGGTCCTTTTCCGCTGTCGACCCTAGGGAATCGTTAGACAATCGTTGCCACCGATTATCTCACATGGTAGTCCGAGGTGAAAGCCCTTCCATCAGGTACGGCTGTTGAAGTCGCCAAGTTTTTCATAGAGTTCATCGTCTTCCGGCACGGCGCCCCCGAAGTCCTAATTACAGATCGTAAATCATCATTCATGGCCCAGCTGACGCAAGAGATTCTTTGTCTTAGTAGCACCAGCCACCGTCAAAGCGCTGCGTACCATCCGTAGACAAATAGACTGACAGAATGGCCGAACAAAACCCTCGCCGACAGGATCTCCAAGTATGTCGACGTACAGCACAATACCTGGGACGAGCTCTTACCCCACGTCACGTTTGCCTACAACACGGTGGTGCAAGAGACCACAGGAGTCACACCATTCCAGCTGCTCAATGGCCGCAAAGTAACTACGATGCTGGATGCAATGCTGCCCCACGAACCTGATGACGACGACAGCGGCGACTCCCAGATCGTCACTCAGCGGGCCGAGGAAGTCCGACAGCTCGCCCGACTCCTGATTCAAGACCAGCGACGCGTCAACGCGGGCCGCTACAACCTCCGTAGCAGGGATGTCCACTTCCAGCCCGGAGACAGGGCGTGGGTGTACGCCCATCCGTCGCCGCGGCCTCAGTGAGAAACTTTTTGAACGGTGCTTTGAACCGTACAAGCTACTTCGTCGCCTCGGGGAGCTGAACTACGAGGTGATGCCCGACGGAACAAGAACATCATCACGCCGCCCACCACGACCTGAAGTCGTCCAGGTCGTGCGCCTGAAGCCGTACTGCGCTCGATAGGACTATAAACCTTATGTGTTTCACTTTAGTTTGCCGTTCTTTTTATGTACTTTGTTTTGTTTTGTGTTGCATCGGGGCGATGTACTTTTTAAGGGGGAGTAATGCCGCGCGCCAAGTAGGCAGCGCGGCCGTGGCCTTCATTCCACTTCCGGCTGCCGAGCGCGACGGACGTGTTATCATGTGCTCCGTAGGAGCGGTGAAAACGGCCGCGTCAGGCCGCGGTATTTCTGTTTCTGGATCCCCCGACGATTACCAGGTTATCTTGCCTCCGCTGCCAAACGGATACGTTGTGACCAACGCAGTCTTCCTGCACTGTGATGTGAAAGGACGTCCGTACAAGATACAAGATTTCCGTCAAGAGTTGCAACGGCTGGATGTGATGAAGGACCTGGCGGCTGCCGGGCCCCATCAAATGAACCACGTGTGGTTGCTGAGGCTGCACTCGCTGGCAGCAAAGCAAAGGCTGGTTGATGCGAAAGAACTGACTGTGAAGGGGGGCCGCTGCCTCGTCATTGACCCAGCGAGCTTGGCGGTGACACTTAAGCTGCACTGGGTCCCATACGACGTTCCCAACGTCCTTGTGAAGAAAGAGCTGGAGCGCTACGGCAAAGTCGCCGACGTCACCAGAGAGCGATTCCGGGAGAAGGGGTTTGAGGCGGTCGAGTCGAACACCCGGATCGTGCGCCTGACCCTCCAGGAAGGCAACACTGTCGACAGCCTCCCCCATGAGCTCCGTCTGGAAGGATGTAAGGTGTTGGTCGTGGTGCCAGGACGAGCTCCGCTCTGTCTCCGCTGCCGGCGTAAGGGTCATATTCGCCGAGATTGCCGCATCCCTCGCTGCTCCGACTGCCACCGCTACGGCCACGACGCAGAGGACTGCGTCAAGACGTACGCAACCATGGCGCGTGACCGAAGCGAAGACGACCACTCCGACTTCCTCATGGACGTCGCGGAGGCAGAGGAAGCGGTAGGAGGCTCTTCGCCGCACTTGCCTTCACCTCCCGACAACTGTGGGTCCCCTGCCCCTGCGAGCACCAGCCCTCCTGCTACCGCGGCTCCACGATACGCGACGGAAGGTACGCCAAGTGAACCAGGAACGATGGCCGCGGACAGCATGAACCCAACGACCCCAAAAACAGATGTCACCCACCCCGCAGCACGCGAACCGAAAGGCGCAGGTGACAGCGGTTCTGACGGCGCGGCGACCAAAGACTTGGATGAAGACACGACCGATGGACAGCCCCCCAGGCGACTCCGAGACTCACTGTCACCTCGCAAGAAGTTGTCACAGAGCAAGACACCAATACAAGGTCTTGGAACACCCCTGACAGCAAAAAGAGTCGTGTAGCGAAATCACTAGTTCTTTCCGACGACCAAAGACGGAGGGAATCGAAGTCAGGACGACGAAGGATGGGGGTCAGGGTCAAATGGCTTGGTGGACGGGGACTGCGGGCGCGGCTGCTCGTGGGAGGGATGGAACGGTGTCGGAGAAGATAGACGTTACCACAAGTGCTCCGGGTATGTGTCGTCACTACGCAGTT